GGCAATGTAAAGAAATGTCATTATGATAAGTGCTTCAGTAATGCGGTCTTGGATTCCATTAGATACTATCTCCAGTTCAGGATGTGGTGCTGTTTGCCGTCTCTTAAACAATCGTATATTCTCATGATAAATTTATCCACATTCATAGACTGTCCTTCAGATAGGGGATCGTGGATTAGAATTGGTCCTGAAAATCTTTGCTGGTGGTAAAGTGATGGGTTGGGTAATTTGACTTTGTGCCTAGGTTGGAGGCATGTAAATTTATCCCAGCATGGACTCCCTAATTATTGATACCTTGATTGTCTTTTCCATACACTTAAAGGTTAATGTAATCTATTTGGAACTCTGCTGATAAACAAATTTCTAGTGTCTGGATGCTATAACTAGCATGAAGATATGTTTTGAATTCATGTTTTGAATATTTGTAATTGAAATGAAGAAAACATTTTAGGTGAGGTGAAATTGGGTTTTACGTCGTGCTTGAGAATATTTCGCTCATATGACGATGTGCATGCGTGTGTATGTGTATGTGCGGCTGCTTGTACTAGCCCAGATTTAAGCTGGTTTTATAGAGCTAGCCCACTGAGATACCATGCCGCAGTGAAGCATGAATACCCCACTCAAACACATTATACTGACTCCGAGCCGACCAGTCCTTATTGTACCCATTAATGCCGAGCGCCAGACAGGGACCAACAAGTACCAAATTTTAACATCTTTTGGTATGACGCGGTCGGGGATCAAACCCGCGACCTACCGCTCTCTGGGCGGACGCTCTAACCACTACACCATGGAGGCGGTCAGAAAACATTTTAAAAAGTGTCAACTGTTTCTGAATATCTGAATAGTATTAGGTTGGTGTATGACATCAACCAATGTATGACATCAACCAACTCACTGGAATAATAGGAATACTTCCAGCACAAGTTGTGGATACTCAGCATTTAATGATACATTGTAGCATTAAGTTGGCCACGGAAAACGTAAATACAAATGTATAAATGGTGAAAGTATTCAGACCTAGAATTACCACAGAAACACAAGCATAAGGTACTGGGGGACCTACTTTAACCCTGTCTCCACCCAGCAACACAAGCATGAGGTACTGGAGGACCTACTTTAACCTTGTCTCCACCCAGCAACACAAGCATGCGGTATTGGAGGACCTACTTTAACCTTGTCTCCACCCAGCAACACAAGCATGAGTTACTGGAGGACCTACTTTAACCTTGTCTCCACCCAGCAACACAAGCATGAGGTACTGGAGGACCTACTTTAACCCTGTCTCCACCCAGCAACACAAGCATGAGGTATTGGGGGACCTACTTTAACCTTGTCTCCACCCAGCAACACAAGCATGAGGTACTGGAGGACCTACTTTAACCTTGTCTCCACCCAGCAACACAAGCATGAGGTACTGGAGGACCTACTTTAACCTTGTCTCCACCCAGCAACACAAGCATGAGGTACTGAGGACCTACTTTAACCCTGTCTCCACCCAGCAACACAAGCATGAGGTATTGGGGGACCTACTTTAACCTTGTCTCCACCCAGCAACACAAGCATGAAGTATTGGAGGACCTACTTTAACCTTGTCTCCACCAAGCAACACAAGCATGAGGTATTGGAGGACCTACTTTAACCCTGTCTCCACCAAGCAACACAAGCATGAGGTACTGGAGGACCTACTTTAACCCTGTCTCCACCCAGCAACACAAGCATGAGGTATTGGAGGACCTACTTTAACCTTGTCTCCACCCAGCAACACAAGCATGAGGTACTGGAGGACCTACTTTAACCTTGTCTCCACCAAGCAACACAAGCATGAGGTATTGGAGGACCTACTTTAACCCTGTCTCCACCCAGCAACACAAGCATGAGGTATTGGAGGACCTACTTTAACCCTGTCTCCACCTAGCAACACAAGCATGAGGTACTGGAGGACCTACTTTAACCTTGTCTCCCTCCAGCAACACAAGCATGAGGTACTGGAGGACCTACTTTAACCTTGTCTCCACCCAGCAACACAAGCATGAGGTATTGGAGGACCTACTTTAACTCTGTCTCCACCCAGCAACACAAGCATGAGGTACTGGAGGACCTACTTTAACCTGGTCTCCACCCAGCAACACAAGCATGAGGTACTGGAGGACCTACTTTAACCCTGTCTCCACCCAGCAACACAAGCATGAGGTACTGAGGACCTACTTTAACCTTGTCTCCACCCAGCAACACAAGCATGAGGTACTGGAGGACCTACTTTAACCCTGTCTCCACCCAGCAACACAAGCATGAGGTATTGGAGGACCTACTTTAACCTTGTCTCCACCCAGCAACACAAGCATGAGGTATTGGAGGACCTACTTTAACCCTGTCTCCACCCTAGCAACACAAGCATGAGGTACTGGAGGACCTACTTTTAACCTTGTCTCCCTCCAGCAACACAAGCATGAGGTACTGGAGGACCTACTTTAACCTTGTCTCCACCCAGCAACACAAGCATGAGGTATTGGAGGACCTACTTTAACTCTGTCTCCACCCAGCAACACAAGCATGAGGTACTGGAGGACCTACTTTAACCTGGTCTCCACCCAGCAACACAAGCATGAGGTACTGGAGGACCTACTTTAACCCTGTCTCCACCCAGCAACACAAGCATGAGGTACTGGAGGACCTACTTTAACCTTGTCTCCACCCAGCAACACAAGCATGAGGTACTGGAGGACCTACTTTAACCCTGTTTCCACCCAGCAACACAAGCATGAGGTACTGGAGGACCTACTTTAACCTTGTCTCCACCCAGCAACACAAGCATGAGGTACTGGAGGACCTACTTTAACTCTGTCTCCACCCAGCAACACAAGCATGAGGTACTGGAGGACCTACTTTAACCCTGTCTCCACCCAGCAACACAAGCATGAGGTACTGGAGGGGACCTACTTTAACCTTGTCTCCACCCAGCAACACAAGCATGAGGTACTGGAGGACCTACTTTAACTCTGTCTCCACCCAGCAACACAAGCATGAGTTACTGGAGGACCTACTTTAACCTTGTCTCCACCCAGCAACACAAGCATGAGGTATTGGAGGACCTACTTTAACCCTGTCTCCACCCAGCAACACAAGCATGAGGTACTGGAGGACCTACTTTAACCTTGTCTCCCTCCAGCAACACAAGCATGAGGTACTGGAGGACCTACTTTAACCTTGTCTCCACCCAGCAACACAAGCATGAGGTATTGGAGGGACCTTTAACTCTGTCTCCACCCAGCAACACAAGCATGAGGTACTGGAGGACCTACTTTAACCTGGTCTCCACCCAGCAACACAAGCATGAGGTACTGGAGGACCTACTTTAACCCTGTCTCCACCCAGCAACACAAGCATGAGGTACTGGAGGACCTACTTTAACCTTGTCTCCACCCAGCAACACAAGCATGAGGTACTGGAGGACCTACTTTAACCCTGTCTCCACCCAGCAACACAAGCATGAGGTATTGGAGGACCTACTTTAACCTTGTCTCCACCCAGCAACACAAGCATGAGGTATTGGAGGACCTACTTTAACCCTGTCTCCACCTAGCAACACAAGCATGAGGTACTGGAGGACCTACTTTAACCTTGTCTCCCTCCAGCAACACAAGCATGAGGTACTGGAGGACCTACTTTAACCTTGTCTCCACCCAGCAACACAAGCATGAGGTATTGGAGAAACTACTTTAACTCTGTCTCCACCCAGCAACACAAGCATGAGGTACTGGAGGACCTACTTTAACCTAGTCTCCACCCAGCAACACAAGCATGAGGTACTGGAGGACCTACTTTAACCCTGTCTCCACCCAGCAACACAAGCATGAGGTACTGGAGGACCTACTTTAACCTTGTCTCCACCCAGCAACACAAGCATGAGGTACTGGAGGACCTACTTTAACCTTGTCTCCACCCAGCAACACAAGCATGAGGTACTGGAGGACCTACTTTAACCCTGTTTCCACCCAGCAACACAAGCATGAGGTACTGGAGGACCTACTTTAACCTTGTCTCCACCCAGCAACACAAGCATGAGGTACTGGAGGACCTACTTTAACTCTGTCTCCACCCAGCAACACAAGCATGAGGTACTGGAGGACCTACTTTAACTCTGTCTCCACCCAGCAACACAAGCATGAGGTACTGGAGGACCTACTTTAACCTTGTCTCCACCCAGCAACACAAGCATGAGGTACTGGAGGACCTACTTTAACTCTGTCTCCACCCAGCAACACAAGCATGAGTTACTGGAGGACCTACTTTAACCTTGTCTCCACCCAGCAACACAAGCATGAGGTATTGGAGGACCTACTTTAACTCTGTCTCCACCCAGCAACACAAGCATGAGGTACTGGAGGACCTACTTTAACCTTGTCTCCACCCAGCAACACAAGCATGAGGTACTGGAGGACCCACTTTCACCTTTTCTCCCCAGCAACACAAGCATGAGGTACGGGAGGACCGCATTTGACCTTGTCTACCCCTAGCAACACAAAGATGAGGTACTTGAGGACCTACCCTGTCAAGCAAGAGGACTCGAAACATATTCAGACCTGCATTTTCCACACAAACAAACAGATAAAAGAACAGCATAGTAACTGACTAGTTCTCCATCCATACATGTTTTTTTTTAAACTTTAAATCAGATGAGCTATAAAACTGCTGTCATGTCATGAAATTGATTTCTACTACTAAATATATCCTGTCATATTTTGTAATGCACGTTTTGTTTGTACACTGAAACAGGATCTACTAAAGCCATAACACCAACTATTTTATGAGCAGATCACACACGATATTATTGATTACTGTGCACAAACATTGTATAGCATAACATGTAAAAATTGTAATTTATCATGCTCAGTAATCATTTATCACAAAAGATACTCAAAAAAATATAATCATGCTTTGGATCACGACCATAAAGTTGAGAGGTGTGTCATTTTCTGAGTTGTCTACCAAGGGTTGCCCACCAAGCATCATCTACCAAGTGTTATGACTGTTGTCTACCAAGTGTTGCCTTAACTGAGTGCATTAACAGAGTCTCGTCTACCAAGAGTCGTGGACCCAGTGTCGTCTACCAAGTATTATGACTATCGTTTACTAATTATCACCTATCAAGTGTTGCCAACTGGGCATTATCTACTGAGTATCGCTCTACGAAGAGTTGGGGACCAAGTGTCGTCTACCGAGCATCGACTACGAAGAGTTGGGGACCAAGTGTCGTCTACTGAGCATCGTCTACCAAGAGTTGTGGACCCATTGTCGTCTACGAAGAGTTGTCTACCGAGCATTGACTATCAAGATTTGGGGACCAAGTGTCGTCTACTGAGCATTGTCTACCAAGAGTTGGGGACCCAGTGTCGTCTACTGAGCTTCATCTACCAAGAGTTGTGGACCCAGTGTTGTGGACTGAGTGTAAAAGTCTACCAAGAGTTGTGGACCCAGGGTCGTCTACTGAGTGTCAACTACAGAAGTACAGAAGAGTTGTGGACCCAGTGTCGTCTACTGAGTATCGACTACAGAAGTACAGAAGAGTTGAGGACCAAGTGTCATCTACCGAGCATCGACTACGAAGAGTTGGGGACCAAGTGTCTTCTACTGAGCGTCATCTACCAAGAGTTGTGGACCCAGTGTTGTGGACTGAGTGTAAAAGTCTACCAAGAGTTGGGGACCCAGTGTCGTCTACTGAGCGTCATCTACCAAGAGTTGTGGACCCAGTGTTGTGGACTGAGTGTAAGAGTCTACCAAGAGTTGGGGACCCAGTGTCGTCTACTGAGCGTCATCTACCAAGAGTTGTGGACCCAGTGTTGTGGACTGAGTGTAAAAGTCTACCAAGAGTTGTGGACCCAGGGTCGTCTACTGAGTATCGACTACAGAAGTACAGAAGAGTTGAGGACCAAGTGTCATCTACCGAGCATCGACTACGAAGAGTTGGGGACCAAGTGTCTTCTACTGAGAGTCATCTACCAAGAGTTGGGGACCCAGTGTCGTCTACTGAGCGTCATCTACCAAGAGTTGGGGACCCAGTGTCGTCTACTGAGTGTCATCTACCAAGAGTTGGGGACCCAGTGTCGTCTACTGAGTGTCATCTACCAAGAGTTGTGGACCCAGTGTTGTCTACTGAGTGTTGTTTACCAAGAGTTGTGGAGCCAGTGTTGTCTACTGAGTGTTGTGACTGTTGTCTACCAAGCATCACCTACCGAGTGTTATCTACTAAGACTCGTGGACACAGTGTTATCTATTGAGTGTTGTGACAATCGTCTATGTCGCCAACTGAGCGCATTTACCAAGCATCATCTACCAAGAGTTGGGGGCCCAGTGTCATCTACTAATTGTCGTCTACCAAGAGTTGTGGACCAAGTGTCATCTACCGAGAGTCATCTACCAAGAGTTGTGGACCCAGTGTCATCGATCAAACATCGTCTACCAAAGAGTTGTGGACCAAGTGTCATCTACCGAGAGTCATCTACCAAGAGTTGTGGACCCACTGTCATCTATCGAGTGTTGTGACTGTCATCTACCACGCTTCACCTACCAAGTGTCGCCTACTTAGAGTCATGGACCCAGGGTTATCTACCGAGTGTTGTGACAATCGTCTACCAAGTGTCACCAACTGAGTGCATTTACCGAGCATCATCTACCAAGAGTTGTGGACCAAGTGTCATCTACTGAGTTGTGGACCCAGTTTTGTCTACCGAGTGTTGTGACTGTCGTCTGCCAAGCATCGCCTACTGAGTGTCATCTACCGAGTGTTGTGAAAATCGTCTACCAAGTGTCACCAACTGAGTGCATTTACCGAGCATCATCTACCAAGAGTTGTGGACCAAGTGTCATCTACTGAGTTGTGGACCCAGCTTTGTCTACCGAGTGTTGTGACTATCGTCTACTAAGTGTCACCAACTGAGTTTAGGAACAAGTTTTGCCTACCGAGTGTCATCTACCAAGAGTCCCAGTGTCATCTATCCAGTGTTGTGACTATCGTCTACTAAGTGTCACCAATTGAGTTTAGGAACCGTTTTGTCTACTGAGTGTTGTGATTGTCGCCTGCCAAGTTTATGAACTTTTCATGTAAATGTGAGTGGTGGATGCTACCTGTAAGCCAGTGCAAATTTAACCTTTTCAAAAACGCCTGGTGTCACCAATAACTTTTCAAGCTCTATTCCAGTAAGTTCCATTGTGACATAGACTTATATACCCAACTGAATCCCAATCAAGTATGATCTTTCTCTGACACATATATATAGTTCTGTGAGTTGCATTTGTGAGATATACTCATGGAAACAAATAAGGGAGCACATGAAAGTACAAATGTTCCTTTATTTATTTCCAGAATTTCACCCACAGTGCAATACATACCTTGTGAAGAAACCTGGAAAAGAATAAAGGAACACGTGTACTTTCATGTGTTCCCTTATTTGTTTCCATGAGTATATTTTGCATTGACAGTTTTTCAGATATTACTCAGAGAAATCTGCAATTGAATATTTTCAGTCTGTTGCCAGAATATACAATGCTATACATACATTGTAAGAAATATACGAACAAACCATTACAAAAACCTTTTCAATTACGTATTGTGAAAAACTTTGTATTCTGTATCATGAGATTTAACTTAATGCTTGAAATAACTTATAATCTTTCTTCTCAAAAACATATTGTGAACAATTACGCATTCTGTATCATGAGTTTTTTTAGTTAATATTTGAAATACATTTGATTCTGAAATGTTTACAAAACCATTCCATGTTTTTACTGATCAATCTGAAATCTTGATTCTTCAACCACTGATGATAAAACCATAAAACACTGAAAATATTCTTATCCAAGAATTGTCTTTAGTAATTTATGATGAAACATTAAACACAATAGTTAGTGCACTGTAGAGTCAACACATACACTGATTGATGTCTGCTAGAATGGAAACACAACATTACTGTATAGAACCCAAACAACTTCACTTAATGGTTGTGTAGGAATGTAACAGGAATGTTATGAAATCATTAATAGTAATGAATAAATTACACATAAAGGATGTCAATCATCCACGGAGATGTTTGAACTAACCTTATTCATATTCAGTGGATATGAGTACTTATTGAAAAATCATAAGCGGTTTTAGTTCCAAGGATGTATATTTTGTCTTGAGTAAATATTGTTCTTCTGCAATATTCCGCCAAAAAAAGAAATAAAGAAGTCATGGAATGTTTTGAGGAAAACATAACAATATGAAAACACAACAAAGAAATGTGGTTTAATATCGTGTTCTAGATGATAATCATGTTGTTGACCACCGAGATACCATGGTCCAGTTTATCGTGGCTATCATCTCACAGTAACTGACTCTGAGATGACCAGTCTGTTGTTTTTAATGCCAAGATTTTGATCACTACAAGTTTATCTGTTTACAAAGGTCTCAGACAGACAGACATACAGACAGTATATTTGAGTATCATATATACAGTGAAAGTACATGTAAAGTAGGTAAAATGTAACAACATAAGGAATATATGAGCCACTCCAGCGGGATTGACGGGACCCCATGTTGTAGTGCAGGATCCCTTGGTTGACCTTGCACCCTATAAGAGTTGAGAGAGAGGGAGAGGGAGAGGGAGAGGGAGAGGGAGAGAGAGAGAGAGAGAGAGAGAGAGAGAGAGAGAGAGAGAGAGAGAGAGAGAGAGAGAGAGAGAGAGAGAGAGAGAGAGAGAGAGAGAGAATGCGTAAACATAACATTTCAAAATAAACATTATATAAACACACACACGCTTACAGATATACTTAAAAGGTAAAACATAAGCATGCAAAAATAAAAACACAATAAATCTATACAATAAAAGATATACACACTAAAGTAGTTTTAAGAATATAGGAGATGTCAACGAGGTTTAAGTATATTAAAACAGGCTTTTGGCACATTTACCCATTTCGTAGTTATAACTTAATATCGCTGGGAACTTCACACTGTCTGGCCACAAATAGAAGACGGTAAAGAAGGAGCTGGCTTCTTGTAGCAAGCCATATCTTAGATCGTGGTAAACAGGGCACTGTAGCAGCACGTGTCGCTCGTCTTTGTACAGGGGTTACTGAGCACATGGGACATAGGCGTTTTATAGGGGGAGGCAACTCTACACTGGAACTTGGCGACAGCCGATTGGGAGTAGCCAGGTAGTCGTGTGGAGACAACTGTTAATTTTCCTAACAGTGATGCATAAAAGGTATTTTTTTAAAATAAATAAATAAAAAAATTCCTAACTTGTCAAAGCAGAACAATATGCTGGATTGATTCACGTTTTTGTGGAAAACTTTTCATCCACACAACACTTTAAACAATTGTTTCAACATCAGTCACAGATATTTACTCATCAATAACCCTTAGGAAGTAAGATAGATGTTAAGCACTGAAGACAATATATGCATATAAAACAAACTGAATTCATCTTTTTGTGAAAATTAATGACGAAACATTTCCATTATCATTTGCAAAGCCAACTAGTTATATTGAAATGAATACAGTAAAATATATCATGTGATAACATTTACTGAAACTTTTACTGGGAGTTATTTCAACTCCTTCACTTAATGTGTCTGCCTCTTTGGGAGTAAGTATATGCCACCATCCAGAGGAACATGGTACTGGCACCAGTTGTCTGTGAGGTATCAGTGAAATTATGTCATGAGTACATATTTCCTCTAGAACCATGGCAGTTTGGGATATCTGAAAACAAAGCTCTGGTACCAGTACCCACCAGGTTTCCCTGTTACCAAGTACTCCACGACTCACTCTCATATTTCATACTGAAGCCCTTGCACTGGCTGCCAGTGCAAGAATGAGTAGAATATAAGACTCTCACACTTGCTTATCAATGCGATCACTCAACTGCGCCAAGTTACTCAAGTGGCATACTCTCCAAGCACGATCCTGTGAGAACATTAAGATCAGGACATCTTCATCTTCTGGAGATACCAAAACGCCATCTGAAGTCATTTGGTTACCGCTCTTTCAGCTATGCTGCTCCTTCTCTCTGGAACTCTGTTCCCCATGATATCAGACTGTCACCAACCCTAGACAACTTAAATTCTCATTTAAAGACATTCCTTTTCCGAAAATACTATTGCTGCTAGATTTTCGTGTTCCCACTCATTTTAAATGCTGTGTATATACTTATAATAGCGCATAGAGCAGACACTTAGTTCCTGGAGTATTTTATATATTTTATATAAATTACATTTATAAATTCATTCCTTATTATTATTATTATTATTATTATTATTATGTACCTACTCACTCACTAACCATTGGTGTACCACAGCTGAAAATGAAAAGAGAGAGTGCGTGTGTGAGAGTGGAGAGAGAGTGAGTGTGTGAGTGAGTGAGTGTGTGAGTGAGTGAGTGAGTGTGTGAGTGAGTGAGTGTGTGTGGGAGAGAGAGAGTGAGTGTGTGTGTGTGTGTGTGTGAGAGGGAGAGAGAGAGAGACACTATTTAATAAACTAAAAACCAACTTCATATTTTTCCATACTAAGGTAGATAACTTAATGAAGGAATGAACATACCACTAAAGGCAATGCTATTTTCAACCATGTTTTCACCTGCAAGCAGGAACAACCAGCAATCACAGCAGTAATATTGATGTAACAGTTGAACCTTCTATGTTCCAGCCTGTCACAATGGACCTGACCACCAGCTTGCCCAGCAGCGCGCCGATAACGGGACATATGGACCCAGCAAAGAATTTCAGATGGAGCTCAAGACATTCAAGTTCTATATGCTTGGCATCATTGGAAACACCCTGGCCGTGTTCGGACTTTTAGCCAACACGTTGTCAATCATAGTTCTGCGACACCGAAAAATGCGTTCCTCCACAGCATATTACCTCGTGACTTTGGCACTCTACGACAACGTCATTCTGGTTGCCATGGTGGTGTTCTTCGGCCTGCCAGCTTTGTATGAAAGAATGGAACCAAGCTTTTTAGAGAGTTACCATTTTAACTACAGTTATGCAACGCCTGTTGGGTACCCCGTGTCTCTAGCCGCTCAAATGGCTTCCATATACACCTGTGTTGCCTTCACAATTGAGCGCGCTACATTGCTGTGTGCCACCCTCTGCATGCGGCCAACACATGCACCAAGTCTCGGGCGAAAAAAGCGATGTTACTCATCTTCCTGTGGTCTATACTCTACAACATACCTAGGTACTTCCATTACAGAGTCGACACAAAATGGGTGGAGGACAAAAACCGAACAAAAGCTATTGCCAATGAAACAGAATTTGGCAGCGATACTGTTTTCCGACAAGTCTATTTGATATACTTCCAACTTATTTTCATGTTTCTGATTCCATTCTCCATCCTTATGATTCTCAACTCTGCCTTGATACGAGCGCTTAAACATTCTCATCAGCAACGACAGCAGATGTCCAATTCTGCTGCTCGGGAACATAACCTAACCATCATGTTGGTGGCCGTCATCGTTCTGTTCCTCGTCTGCCAGTTTCCCTCCATCATTGACAACATTCTCTTAGCCTCCACGGACCGGGTACAGCGCATCAGCAACATGCACTACAACAAATTCTACATCATGTCTACCCTGATGGTTGAGATTAACTCAGCGACAAACTTCATCATGTACTGTGTGTTTGGTAAAAAGTTCCGGATGGTGTTTTTACATATCTTTGGATGCAAGAAAGTGCAGAACACCCTGCAGTATCGCAGTACGTTGTATAACACGCGAACTAACGGATTACGATCATGCGACATGGAAGTATCATTAGTATGACTAGGCAGATGTAAAACAATACCAAAGAAAAAAGTCGGTTTTAAAGACATGTTTGATGAGAGTCCATAACCCTATCTTAATCTTAAATTTATTCATTTTAGAATACATCATTCCAGGGTCGTTACAAATAAATATTGAGAAGTGGAAGCTGGAAAAATGTTCTTGTTCTTCAATCCCTACGAGGAAATGAAAGTGACAAAATATTCCATAAGCCTCAGAAATCACTAGAGCTATATCAAAAGCATGTGTTTGGGATTTACTATCAAATAGTGGCGATGCCAGATTTAGCAGGATAATGCATGAACTTGCAGTGTCAGTGTGTGATCCCAATTGCTTTTCCCTGTGTGTTTCAAACCTGCATGTGGATGAGATAGCAATGTTCCCACCATTGAGCAACACTGAGCACCATTCCAATCTTATTTCAGACGAACTGAGGCTCGACAGCTTGGCATCAGTCAAGGAAGTAAGCCCAAGGAGACATAGGTATTCGTTCATCTCTTCAAAGACAGGGTTCTGGCGCAGCAAAGGGATACAACTCTGCATAACAAAATATTGTGGTTTAGGCCCCAGGGCCACATGGATGTACCCCCGAAGGTCATTGAATAATAGTAGGATGGCGTTTCCTATTCTCGCAGTTCTTACGGATATTGGCTGAAAAGATAACACAAACAATTCTTATCGTATGAATGCTTGTTGTGTTTAAATGAAGGGCCTTCTCCTCTAACATCTGCATCTATCAGTTGCTAGATCCATCAGGTGAATTACCACTTGTGAGCCCGGTGATAAACAATGCCATCCGCCATTGATGAAATGAGGCTTCTCCCATTCTTGCGGTATAACGAAGAAGTAATGTTATGGAGTGTATGGAAGAGCAATCCTGCTGGAAAGGGTGAGAAAAAGTTATGATATGTCCAAGTTGGCATTACTTACCAATACTCGGGACATTGCAAGATTTTGATCACTCGCAGACTTTGGCCACTTCCTAGTTACCGGTTGGCAAGTTTAACAACCACTAGGTGTTGCACATTGGTGATATCGGCAGAAAACGTGTTTACCGCGAGAATAGGAAACCCATAAGAAAAGGAGATGGAACTATATGCCAAGAGATCGGGTAGAAATCAGATGAAGTCTGAAGTCTACCCTGGATTACACTATGCAGGTTAAGATAATCATTGCTCATAACAGCATCAACTCACTCAAAATCCACCCAGTTGTTTACTTGCTATCTCAAAGGACCAGTCCTTTCAGAACTGCAGCTGAAGCTAAGCTATTTTTAGTTCTTGGTTTACAGACATGTTCTGAAATCCTGGCTCCTGTTCCTCCTGCCCCTTTCTTGAATGGGGCCTAAGTCAGTTGGTTATGAAAATGTATAAAAAGACATAAATAAATTTATTTGTTTTTCCAAAAGTTATATTGCCTTTTGTGGAGTGTCAGTTTCATCATCATCGTCACACCACCATTACCATGTGTGTTACTGTTTGTTTGATGTTGTGGGAAAGACAGTTATTTTATTGCTTTATAATACAATGGGGCTAAAAAAATAGGGAGGGTGGGTGCCACTGACGATAAGTTCACACATGATTTACAGACACACAACAAACACATTTTAGTGGTCATCTGACTGTGACCGCTATCCGTAATGGTGAGTTGGTGCACTGACGATAAGTTCACACATGATTTACAGACACACAACAAACACGTTTTAGTGGTCATCTGACTGTGACCGCTATCCGTAATGGTGAGTTGGTGCACTGACGATAAGTTCACACATGATTTACAGACACACAACAAACACGCTTTAGTGGTCATCTGACTGTGACCGCTATCCTTAATGGTGAGTTGGTGCACTGACGATAAGTTCACACATGATTTACAGACACACAACAAACACGTTTTAGTACCAGTAATTGTAAACATATGATCAAACCGCATGTTCAGTTTTGGATTGTTTGACATGTATTTCCAGTGCTATGTGGTCACATTAATGACTGTGCATTGGAATAAAAACTCAAAATGAATTTTGGCCTGTAGAATGTTCACATCCCTCTCCACATCTATGCTTTTGGGGGAAAGGTGTGCACTATATTCAAGAAAATACTGTTCATTTAAGTGTTGCCTTCATGTTGACTTAATGCTGTCTGTAAAATGTTTAATAAGACCATTTATACCCAAGAAGCTGCTGTTATCATAATACATATCATATGTTTTATATTGTATATATATTACTGGACATACAAAATAACAGGTTGGGGTCCCCTCACATTAATGGCAACTATTTACTAATTAACAGTCAGGTACAATAAGGAACACGTTTTTATGGATAACAACTTCTTTATTTCGTGAGTGCGACGTTTCGATACAGATTCTTGTACCGTTGTCAAGCAAGAGTCAGATTGCTTGACAACGGTACAACGGTACAACGGTACAAGAATCTGTATCGAAATGACGCACTCACGAAATAAAGAAGTTGTTATCCATAAAAACGTGTTCCTTATTGTACGTCTCAACTTCTAAAAATGCCACTCAAACAAGTTAACAGTCAGGTAGTAATCTATACCTAACAACCTTCAAGCTCAATTTGCAAAATATTCCAAATTACATCTCACTGAGATTAAATTCATAAAACCTAATAAATATGGGGACTAAAACTTCCGCTTACTTCATCAGTGAAGTATCTGTGAGGGGTCAGCAAGTGTGCTAAATCTGATGAAACGACAGACAACAACCAGTACATGTAATCCATTTAAACCTTGAAGGGTGCCAGCCAAATGAGGTACAGCCCCAGAGTTTTGTTAGTGACAGGATGCTCTTTCAGTCACAGTTTCCAAACATGCCACATTTTTCTGGGAAAAATTATTCCTTCTTCATAAGACATTTGTCTTTAGGTCATCCAACATGTCTTGTGAAAAATTCAGTTTAATTGTAAAACCTGAGGACATATTTCTTCCAGTAATGGTGGAACAAAATGTTGTCTCAAAACCTAAATGTCAAATGGTCACTCTTTCTCAAGGTAAAACAAAAATATTGAGTCAAACATCAATATTAAAACACAGGAGACTATAATAGTCCTCCTCTATCACAAAAGGCATTTATTATTGCGTTATTTTACTGAAGGCAAAACATAAATTAACAAACATTTGCCCATTCAACTAACCCATTGATAGTACCAGCAAGTGAAGGCCATTCAAGCCCTAGAGGGGCAGTTGGGTAGCCTAGTGGTTAAAGCGTTCACTCGTCATGCCGAAGACCCGGGTTTGATTCCCCACATGGGTACAATGTGTGAAGCCCATTTCTGGTGTCCCCTGCCATGATATTGCTGGAATATTGCTAAAAGTTGCGTAAAACTAAACTCACTCACTCACTCACTGAAGCAGTAGATTTGCACAAGTCTCAAAGGTTATAATCAATAGTGTCAATGATAATTTCTAGAAAATATATATATCCCTCTAACAGATTGATTTCCTTATTTTATCTAGACTTGCCTCTTTAAATGATAGAATTTCAATACATCCATTGGCTTAACCTTCAGTACAGCCTTGGAGCAAGGCTTAGAACTCAAGCCCCAACTATCAAACATCTTGTTGCAGAAAAGTTAAGTGAGTGTTCCGAGCAGTGAGTGAAGGAAAGCTTTTATTCAACTTACTAGAAGAGGGATGTAAACGACAGAGTTGGACCAGGCAAACCAGTGGTTAAAAGCATGAGCATCAATGCATGCCATCTGCAACTTGACAGTGCCTAAAATTGATCCTATTTAAATATCAACCCTTTAAAAAAGCATTGGCCCCTGGGGACCGTTCCCACCATAGACTCCTAGTGGTGTACCAGGGAAAGGATAGTAGTAATGAATTTAGGAAGATAACAAAAATCATCAGTTTTGTCTGTAAATGTCAGGCAGTGCCAGAAACCCAAAGCATAAGAACATTTAATGGTGGCCAGGATGGTTGGGAAATGTTCTATGTCAAACTGAAATTTGTCCCTCAGGGCATCATAATATGGTAGTGTAAAAACTGTTCACATCCTTTTCTTCATCAGTTAATCAATGTGCGAAAATCTTTTCAATGGCATCCATTTTACCCATTCCAGTCATACATCTAGCATAGAAAGGATGATCAATTTCATTACCGTTTCCATAAATGACACCAATTTCCCACAAATGTAACATAACTAAGGCCCATAATTGAATTCTCAACTTGTACAACTTTTAAAGACTGTAATTGATTTTTTGCTATTTGGGCGTAGTTTTCCGATTTCCTGGTTAAGGAAACCTACGTCACTACATCATTACCCAATACCTAAAATGTTTTTTAGTGACCTTGGCCTGTCAACACTTATTTTAACCAAATCATGGTCAATTATTATAACAAAATATGCAACCGTCCAGAAACCAATTGACAAAATGAATGTGAAATCTCTGGGAATTTTCACAAAAAGGGTTTGATAAAATTAATTTTCATCGATTTCAGCACTTCTATGATACATTCTTCAGACTTTCAAAGATGCCTCTAAAATTGGATCAAAACAAGTTTGAAAAAAACAAAAAACAGCCAATACATGGCTAAACCTCCAGGAACAAGAATACATCGTTTTCTGAACAGAAGAATAATTCAGGAAGCAATCACAGCAGAATGTCAGTTGTACAATTCAAAAGGTAAACTGGTGAAAGGCCTTCAGTCGTCAGAGGTGCTGTATTTATAATTATATGTGCAGAGTTGCTTCCCTTAGTTGCACCAGAAACCTATGATTACTGGTTCAAACAGAATCATCTTTATCTTGTTTCTGGCTTGTCAGCAGATCTAAGACCTGCCTCATATCAGACTTTCTTTGCATATGAAGTATCCAGGTCACTAACATAATACTACTGTATAAGTCCCACTTCTGCATAGAATCTCTGATTTATATTTGGTTTGAAGTGACGATAACTTTCAAAGTTCTGTGAGCAGAAACTCGGAAGTGTAGAATGCAGATTCCAATGAATTTAGTGAATAGATGTATGGTACTGGTAAACCAAGGTTTGTAATGGGATCTGATCTTGGATTCAGACCTAGTGAATCACTGCAGGGAAATTTCTGCAGTACTAAACAGAGTACAACCATCCCAGCAATTATTCTACCTACAGTTGTGGCAATTTTTCTTGGTGTATCAAGTGCCCCTGTCATACTACATTAATCAATCTATAGAACAAGATCCTTGTCACATAAAGGAATCATCTGACAAATGGCATAGGTTTATCTTAAAGTATTGGAACTATGACAATCGTAGCACAAGAAGAATCTGTGGAACAAGACCCTGGTAACTCTTTTACAAGGAACCAATGGCGTAGGTCTATCTTAAAGTGTAGGAACTACAAGAATTGTAGCCCAAGATGAATCTGTCAAACAAGATCATGGCTGGTTCCTGTTCCATCAAAGAATAGATGGCGTAGGACTATCTCGAAGTATAGAAAGTACAAAAATTGTAGAATGAGATGAATCTGATGTATAGCGCCCAGGTCCATGCTCCACAAAGTAATCATGTGACAAATGTTGTACGTTTATCTTAACGTATAGGAACTACAACAATCAGAGCACTACAACGTATCATCACATTTGATGTTTATCAGCTGCTGACTGGGCTAGCTTCATGTGTAATGTCCGCAGGGCGCCCTAACTTCGATCAAGAGATCTGTGCTTCCATTCCCCGCACAGGACTCAGGTACAACACTTTCATTGTCATGAAAATAAAGTTATGATCGCATTGTAAAAGTTGTGTACAAAGTATGCATGCTACATTAAAATATTGTATAAGTCATGTTGGTTTTTTTAAATTAAGGCAAGACCAATTTTATTTCTTGTTTTACGGATTTTTGTCCTCAGAATCCTAAAGGCAGGAGGAAATAAAAACTTAAAATAAACTCACCATTCAAAGTAATATTCCTTTGAAATACTAAAGGTATTTTACTTTTGACAATTTATGAAGTGTATTTGGGAAAAAAAATAATAATCTAAAAACATTTTCTTGCACATTTACATTTTTGGCCAATAGAAATATTAAAATTTTATTTTTTGAGCGGGAAATTTTTTTTTTTTTTTATCTTAAGCTTGCAAAATTTTGACCGGCGGATCCGTAAAACAAGAAATAAAATTGGTCGGGACTAATCGGTGAAACATGTTGCAATGACAGTATGTACTGACAGTACCATGGTGGCCCTAAATCTGTTACATGTTGACTTTCATATTAAGCCTTGTTAATGTTACAGTGTGTGTTGTCCTTTGTCGAATACCAGGTTGCAAGAAACACTGCTGTTGTTTTTACATCTGTTGTTCATAGTATTACATGTACATAGTATGTGCAATGAGTCCTTCATCAAATCTTTACATGTTTTTAACATCTTTTCCCCAAAAGCACATAGGTGTGGTTACAATATATTTTAAAGAGTGATGTTTCTGAAGTGATTATTTGAAAAAATAGGTTTAAAAGTCACTCAGTGTTATTGCACCATCAGAATACTTTACAGGTTTCAGAAAATAAAAGGAGTGGTTGGAAGGGTAGTGGTTAAAGCGTTTGCTGTCATGCTGAAGATCCGGGTTCGATTCCCCATATGAGTACAATGTGTGAAGGCCAACATACAGAAGTTTGTAAATTTACTTAATACTCAAAATGCAAATGTTATTTTACGCCTAGCCATATTTGTAAACAAAATCCATAACGTTGTATGATGCTTATAAATGCCAGTGTATTTCTCATGCCAGCGCTCCAAAGAACATGATGTAAAAATGTCACTATACTTTTGGCCCCATGGCCACTCTACGAAATAAATCTGTCTATCTGTCTGTCTGTAACATATCTACCTTCATCGGCACTAAAGGTCTTAATTCTGGACCAGACAATCCAGTGATTGACATCATGCTCATCGATCTATGCAATTGGGATACGATGACGTGTGTCAACCAAGTCGAGTCTGACCACCTGATCCCGTTAGTCGCCTCTTACGATAAGCATGAGTTGCTGAAGATCAACTCTAATCAGATCTTCATGGGTATGGGGGGATGTTTCACATTGTGTAATAAAGAAGAAAATAAAACATTAGTGATGTAGGGACCTAAGGATGCTTGGATAAGTGTTCATACTATGGACATAGTGTTTTTGTGGACCTGGCAACATTTTGCAGGCTGCTGTGATATTTCTGACTTACAATCCTGTTGAACAACTCAGTTTAGAGTGATGAAAGCTGATGACCTATGCTCAAATGTCCATGTCACATTTTGATGTTCTTGTCAAACATCTGATGATGCACAGTCTGTTGTGTTATCCTAGCTGGTGTATTTATCATGGTATTTGTGTCCATCATGAACAGACTTCTTGATTAACAAAATTGTTTGATATAAATTTTCATGTCAAATAAAACATGAATGAAGCCAATGGGTTAATGTTTTCACTGATAAATCTAATGCCTGGTTGAAACAACAAAGGAGTGAGTGGTTGAGTGAGTGGGTGTGAGTGAGTGAGTGGGTGTGAGTGAGTGAGTGAGTGTGAGAGAGAGAGAGAGAGAGAGAGTGAGTGAGTGATGGATGGATGGATGGATGGATGGATGGATGGATGGATGGATGGATGGATGGATGGATGGATTGATTGATTGATT